AAGTGAGCGTGTCTTAGATAATAGCTTCTCATGCAATCATAATCGATTGCAACAATAAGTAACACAAAAAACTGAGTTTCAGTGAAGGTTATTTGGTCGTCCGCTTTTTGAACGAGGTGAGGTTCAACGAGACAATTCGAGTAAAAATAATCGAGTTAAAAAAGGATATCGATGGTCCCAGACGATCACAGGAAATAATCTCCCTTTGGCATTTCTCGCCAAATTCAAAACTGTTTGGTCGGATTGCAACCGGACAATTTTGAATTTTGGCTGGTGCATCGAATCTCGGAATGTTTCAATATTTCAATGATAGTAACAGCATTCATGTAAGCCTTTCATTCGGTAACTTATTAAATATCACTTTCATTCGGTAACTTATTAAATATCATCACGCAGAATTCTTAATCAGACTAACCGCGCACATCAACCCAACAAAGCAACCCTTTATTCTCCTCAAATATGAGAAAGGAACACTGCGATCAGGCGACCAGCATGTCTTGATCTTACAAATTTCTGATGTGTCTAAATAAGGCATATTCTAGCCTACAAGAAGGAAGGCATAACTGTCTTGCATCGACAATCTCCACCTTCCGTGATATAGCCAATATTTATGAAGATATTTCTCCATACGTAGGCGAATGTTGGGAGCAGAACAATCACTTTTTGATTCAACCATACGTGTATGTCTGATCAACAACCTTATTCTCAAAGAATTATTTATTAAAGCAAAATATGGTCTTTCGTAATTGTAAATAACGAATTTTGTCAGTTTGAAAAGGCAGAGATGTAATTTTCACAGGTTTTTAGAGGGATGGAATTTATTCGAGATGCGAACTGTGTGCGATGTGACGTATATTTCCGAATGCTTTCACGTCGCAGGAATAAAACGAATCGTCAGAAACAAACGCACTTAAATCACGTAGTAATATTAATAATGAACAAAGCAATACAACTATTATTTCATACGAATAAATTCTTATCATATCAACCAGTTGATTGAATGCGACAATAAACGATAACGTTCTCAATCAGCTGATGTTTTTTTGACATCAGCCACTAATGTCTTCAGTTTAAGTGCCGACTCGAGAATATGCTCAATTGAATACTTTTTGAATTGCTCATCATTTTTGATCTCATCAACCAATTCATCGCCTTGGCGCAGTATCTGAAATTACATCGATAATATTAATCAGCATTATTAATTTTATAAAGTGAATACAATAATGCCGAAAACTCTAATGAGGAAAGCCTTTACTGAATAGGAACCTGATCGAAATCCTACAAAATTTTTAATTTCCATTCAAATCGATATTGAATATGAGATTGAGAAAGCATTTTCTACGAAAAAGTTTTCACAACAATAACAATTTTCTGATTGAATAGCAACATTCATTCACCTGATCGGCCAATGTTGAAAGTGCGACACGTTTTGCGATTGGTAGTGCCCCATAAGGAGCACTGTATATGGCGATTAGTGATTTCATTGCTTGTTCAGCTTTTTTCTTGTTCTCGTTCGCCATCTTAATGTGAAATAACAGAACAGAACTCATTTTCCATTATTCGAGTTGATTATCATCAATGACATTAATTTAGCAAATGAAGAAGGTTAATTTTTTCAGCGTTATTCAGTAACGTACTTGTTTGTTGGCTAGAGCAGCAACGCTCACCTGAACCAGATCATTGATAATGAGTTGTTGCCACTTATCGAAAATTTTTAGTAGTCTGAAGCGATCGAAGAGAAACGAAATCACACGCCCAACACGAGCGAATCGGTTGAAGTCGGGTAGAATCACTTTTTCGGTATACAAATATGTCAATAACTGAAAGCAGTTGATCAATTTCGTTCATCGACAGCATCCAAAATCAAAAAAACTAATTCGGCATGGAATTTTTTCAACGATTCCATTTCTCTTCGCAGGTGTGTCTACGGGGAATAGAGGATAATTAGTTTTTGATGAAAAGAACAATNAATTTAGGTACGATTCCACGTGAACATCGAATATCACCTCGACAGAGTGATATGCAGTTATTCGCAAGTGCGAACTCATTTGTTGAGTTCAGTTAAGTGTATTGCGTTGATTAGTAAAACAATACAATGATCACTGATGGCAACAATTAATCTTTGAACTGATAACAATTTCACATAACATCTCAAAATCGAGTTTGACACTCACAACTTTCATATCGCTCTCAGAAAGGTATGGAAAAATGATGCGATCTTGGCTACTTTCAACGAGAATTTGATCGGTCGGCAGCGAAACTTTCTGTCGGAAGATTGATTGTAGCGAAATTGACGTGTATGCAAGTGGTGATTTGTGTACGAAATACTCAGTTGAGTCATTTGTCGACGAATCACCTGAGATCGATTTAAAATTTAATTGATAAAAATCTACCAAGAACCTTCTGACACCGATGAAGTAACAACTCACCGAATTTCATACCAGTAAATCACTTGAGTGCTTAATCAAGGAACTATAAGCATTTGTCATTTTCACTACAATCGAATTGGTCACTCACAACATCAGATTGTGTATATGATGAAATCATGATTGAAATTGATCATTAGAGAATATCATTCAAATTGGAGTCGATCAACTTCTAACCTCTCGTGAAGACGAAATCCGAATTCGCTGTCTTCTTTCCACTGAGTACTGCCTCTAAAGTTTTTCTGTTGCGCCCTTCGTCCGGATCTGTAGTTGCACTGCAAACGAACATTTTATAAGTCAGTAATAAAATCAATCAGGCATTTTGAATTGTATTATGATTGATGTTATTATTTCATGTAAATTGCAATCATCTACTGCGCCCTTATGCACCAATAGTCATATGTAATGGTTTCTGAAATGCAGATTTAAAGATAACTTCCCGAAAGCATTGAGATTTCCACAAACAACTAGATACGCAAGTGGTTATCAATGTCACATTGTATTTAGACATCTAACCTATTGGTGTCANAGTCTCGTTCAATTTGAAGTGTTATTCGGAATATGAGAATATCATTTTGTTTAATCAGATCTTTCAGATTCCTTTCCGTTATCACATTCTTCACAAAGTAATTGTCGTTGCGTGGATTTGCTTTGAGATTTGCTGAAATTGAATAAGTTCGCCATTTCATTTGAAGAAGACAGTCATCGAGGAGCAGTGTTCAATGATGAATCTTCAAACGTTCCTTTTCAAACTCACCCTCTGTAACACAAATAAATTCTGAGCCATTTCTATAGCCAATTCGAAGTTTAACGTTGCGCGCCTTCGGAGCCTTTTGTTTCGACAGTGCATCGTTTCTGAGCGCTCCTTTCGGGAGTGGCTCATTCCCAAATGCGGACGTTTCTGGCCCGATGTTGAGCAAATAAAATGTGAACTGCAACTCTAAATGATCGAAACATTTCAAAATCAATGCAATAAAAACGATTCATTCAGAAATAACATTCTGACTTCTTATCAAATGCTACATCCACTCAATGTGGTTTTAGAGTATGCAAATGAACCGATTGATTCATCGAAACCGCTTCAATTCAAAAGAAAATTAAGGCTTGCAAAGGATTTGATGCTTTGCAAGCCTTAATTTCAATCAGTTGGGTTAGATTCACTCAACCAGATTCATCGCCGTGTAATATCAACTTGTATGCATAATTCCACCACACATAATTGTGATACACAACCATTGGTATGCCGGATTGCAGTGTACATCCATTCTCGGTGGTTGCCTTCAAGGGGAATGTTGTTGATTTCAATAAATTACCGAAATGAAATTGTGTCGAAATGAGAGATGAGTTTTATGTTTTAAAGCATTTTCATTGCTTGGTATTTAACGTTGAGTGAATAACTGACAACTGACAACACGGTATTTTAAGGAATTTTTTACTAACAATAGGTAAGATATGAAACCTCAATGCTGTCTTTGTGAATTCGAAAATCGTATTCAAATTCAATGAATTTGCACTTTGGATTCGACAGTTCATCAAATCCATGACCGCGCTTATTCGAAATCGGTGAAGCGCCTTAAAATTGGTGCTCCTTTGAAATTTAAAAATTTTCGAATTGTATCACTCGATAAAGTTTCATTTAGTTAAGTATAACAAGCAAAAAGTTATTTCTACGAAAATACGTGGTATTGATCACAACTATCGAATTTGATTTATGAATATTGAATGTATAGGTTTCTCTTTTTCAATTATAAATTTTTTTTGTGAATCATTCGAGACAGTATTGGTTATTTCAGCATCGAATGCACTCCATCGAAACAGAACCTTTGTCGTCATGAACGAAAACTTTCGAGTTGCCGTCATCAAGTGGAATAATTATTGGCTTTGTTGTAATTTTGCTCTGAAAAGAAAGTTTTTCTGAATGATGGGACATTTCTGAATGCGTTTGATACCCATGCGTCTGATAATATAAGGAGACAACTTTTTCCTTAGAATTAACTATGAAAATTTTAAACAGTGCATCCATACAGATTACAAAATCGCAAAAACAAGAGAGCGAATTTTAATCTATAATGGGAAGTCCGATTTTTTATAAACACTGAAAAAAAACAATGTACAAATGAGTTCTCGTATAAGCCAGTGGTTCTCATAGGGGTGAAATCACCTGTTTTGGGTAATTTGGAGGTGTCAATGGGTAATGGAAGAGATCGGTAAATTAGTATTTCGTGCAGTTGTTATGTTAT